CTTGAATTATGGTTCAAAGGTCTATCTTTTCTCTGAGTCTACAGAGCAAACTCTTCTTTCCAAAGAAAAAGTTTTGTTTTCCTGAATTTATCAGAAAGTTTATTTTATATCAGATACAAAAAAATGTAAAATATGCTGTTATTTCTTCTTTTGGTTTAAGTCAAGCTTATAGTTGTAAACTGTGAAACTGATTGTAAACTGTGAAATTTGTGGAGCAGTCCTAAAAAAAATTGCTAGAAGCACAGTTAAAAATGGTGATTAATGTAAGACATCTACAATATACATCATCCTCAAAATTGACTAGACTTGCAACGTCTTCAACTCTCAGTGTTTCTAGTATCAGAAGATGGGTGAGGCAAGTACTAATGTTCAAAGATTTCTTTTCAATATCCGTGCCTCAAGACTACAGTCAACTAGAAGCACTTCACACTGAAACTACCTTTCCGCTGTAGAAATATCTTCAAAGATTCCATTTCTCAGCTTCAGTTTGTGTCTTGGATCTTTTCAGATGACATAAGGACGCTGCCCTTTGCTCAGCATTTGCTAAATGAAACACAAGTTTTTAAGTGCACAAAGAAACCCCCTTTCAGTTAGGATCAAACCCTGGTGCATTTCTTCTTTCCATTGCTTGATGTGTTAATTGAAACTGAACGATGCAAAAAACAATGTAGTAAATCCAGTGAGCATATGCTTAAGATAATTATAGCAAATATTTGCTTAATCTGCTAAAACACTGTTGGAAGGTTCTGTTCACAGTGTCTGAACTTTGACACTGCTATTCTGACTCTGTAGGTCCAGTAGGTTAGTATTCTGTATTACCACACACAGAGCTTTTTTTTGATTCTTTGGGTTGAAGGAATACAGATGCAATCCTTCTTTCACCCTCAGTAAGTGAGGGAAGCATTTTCTGTCACTAGAATTCATGCAAATGGGTTACAGATCTCTCCAAGTACCTAACCTGCTTTGTAAAAAAAGTGAACATGGATTATTTGAAAGACTGGTGGTGCAGGGGTAGTCTCTTAAAGCAGTTCCCCTTTTGGGTTTCAGAGATAAGAAAAAATGAAATAGAACAAGAAACTAGCTAACTAACTAATGAGGGGAGAGGAAGAGGAAGAGGAGAGGAGAGGAGAGGAGAGGAGAGGAGAGGAGAGGAGAGGACAGGACAGGACAGGACAGGACAGGACAGGACAGGACAGGACAGGACAGGGGCAAGGGGGGGGTGATGGATTAAATGGG